GTTCTTTCTGCATCTTGATCCCTCAAATTAGCTATGACACATTAGGGAGATGGTTTGGGCAGGGTGGGTATTTATGATAAGTGGAGAGGTGAATTTCCTTGAATGGATAGCAAGTGAAAGACACTTCTGATTCACTTGAAAACAATTGCTTGCTTGCTTGCTTTCTTAAGACTTTATGTATTTATTTGAGAGGCAGAGTTACAGAGAGGGAGAGACAGAGAGATCTTCTACCTGTTTGTTCACTCCCCAAATGGCTGCAAAGGCCGAAGTTGGGCCCATTTGAAGCCAGGAGCTTCTTCTGGGTCTCCCACATGGGTCCAGGGGCCCAAGCACTTGGGCTATCTTCTACTGCTTTCTCAGGCCACAAGCAGAGAGCTGAACTGGAAGAAGAGCAGGTAGAACACAAACCAGTGCCCATATAAAACACTGGTGCTGCAGGCAGAGGCTTAACCCTACAGCGCTGGCTCCTGATAGTGATATTTTAAATTGAAAATACAATATTTCTGTATTTATTAAGATATATTATTATGTAAATATATATTAAAATGTTTACCCATGTTAACTGATTTTGATGAACTTACAAACTTCTAGCCCCTGTTTTATAGATAGATAGATCCAAAATTATTAATCAAAAATGGATGGGCTCATACTATATTCTGTAGCTCTCTTTTTCTTTCATGTAATATTTGGAAAGTTAAAAATGCTGCTTTAGAATATGACTCCATAGTTTATTCAGTGGTGTTTAGTAGGAAAGACTCCCTGATGAAAAGACAATTTCAAGTGATTCTGGGAACTCAGCAGATTGACTCAAGATCTAATAACCTTTGATACCTTTTTTTTAAAAAAAGATTTATTTATTTATTTGAAAGAGTTACACAGAGGAAAGGCGAGGCAGAGAGAGAGAGAGGTGGAGGGGGGCGGTCTTCCATCTGTTGATTAACTCCCCAATTGGCTGCAATGGTCGGAGCTGTACCAATCCAAAACCAGGAGCCAGAAAATTCATCTGGGTCTCCCACGTGGGTACAGGGGCCCAAGGACTTGGGCCATCTTCCGCTGCTTTCTTAGGAACATTACCAGGGAGCAGGATTGACAGTGGAGCATCTGGGATTTGAACCAGCACTGATATAGGATGCTAGTATTGCAGGCTGTGGCTTGACCTGCTGTATCACAATGCTGACCCCTTATGTATAATTTAAAAAAATTAATTTGAGGACCAGAATCGTGGCATACCAAGTAAAGTTGCTGCCTGTGACACCGGCATCCCAAGAGTGCTGGTTCAAGTCCTGGCTGCTCCTCTTCCAATATATTTTCCTGCTAATGTCTTGGGAAAAGCTGCGGAAGATGGCTTAAGTATTTGGGGCTCTGCTACCTCTGTGGGAAACTTGAATGGAGCTCCAGGCTCCAGGCTCCTGGCTTCAGCGTATCCTAATGTTGGCCGTTGTAGTGATCTGTGGACTCAACCAGTAAATGGAAGATCTTTGTCTCTCTCATCTTTTCTGTCTCTGTAATGCTGACTTTCAAAATAAATAAATGTCTTTAAAAATTAATTTGTTGCCTTGCTGATTTTATAGGTTAAGTACTTAAAAATTAAGCTGTTCCTTTTTTTAGTTTTAATATTTTCATATTAAATTATTTTTTAAATTTTATTTATTTATTTGAAAGCAAGAGAGTTCCTATTAGCTGGTTCATTCTCCATATGCCCTCAGTATCCTGGGAGCCAGAAATTCACTTTTGGTTCTTCCACAAGAGGTGGCAGGAACCCAATTACACTTGAGCTGTTATCACTGCCTCCCAACGTCTGCAATAGCGGAAAGCTGGAGTCAGGAACTGGATCCAGATATCAGACCCGGGCACTCTGATATGGGATGCAGACATCCTAACCAGCATCTTAATGCTAGGATAAACATCTGCCCCTGTGGTCAATATTTTAAGTGCACCTTGAATATTAAGCTTTTTCTTATAGTAATAGAATTACTGTTCTTTCACTTTTTTTTTTTTTTAAGATTTTTATGTATTTACTTGAAAGTCAGAGTTACACACAGAGAGGAGGAGAGGCAGAGAGAGAGGTCTTCCATCCACTGGTTCACTCTCCAGATGGCTGCAATGGCTGGAGCTGCGCCGATCCGGAGCCAGGAGCTTCTTCCGGGTCTCCTCCGTGGGTGCAGGGGCCCAAGGACTGGGGCCGTCTTCTGCTTTCCCAGGTCATAGCAGAGAGCTGGATCAGAAGAAGAGCAGCCGCAACTCAAACCTGTGCTTTAGCCTGCTGCACCACAGCACCATTCCCTCACTTTTTTTTTTTTTTTTTAAGATTTATTTTATTTATTTGAAAGGCAGAGTTACAGAGAGAGGTAGAGACAGAGACAAAAAGATCTTCCATCTGCTAATTCGTTCTCCAAATGGCTGCAATGGCTGGAGCTTAGCTAGTCTGAAGCCAGGTGCCAGGAGCTTCTTCTGAGTCTCCCATGTGGGTGTGGGGGTCCAAGCACTTGTGTCATCTTCCACTGCTTTTCCAGATGCACTACCAAGGAGCTGGATTGGAAGTGCAGCAGCCAGGACTGAAACTGGCTCCAGGCACCAGTGGTGCAGACAGGGCTTCAATCCATTGTACCACAGCACCAGCTCTTCTTTCACCTTTTGAGCAGTCTCAGGGACCAGCAGTATTTGAACTAGAACTGATTAAATCATCATTGGACTCAATGGTGTGGTCTTCTAAAAAAGCAAGACAACGAACATTAATAAAGTGTCTACTATAAAGGTTTAAATATCTTAGTCTGAACATTAATTTTCCAAAAGAGATTTTAACCATTTTCCATGAGTGGCCTAGAGAGACACACATTTCTTAGGATTGTATAGCTAAGGAGTGACGGGTCAAAAATTTGAATCAGTCATTTGAGAAACTTTGGCTTTCTGTAGCTTTACATAAAGGACTAATTCGTGGTGAGGTAGTGTGAATAAGTAAATAATCAGAGGTAGTTAAGAAAATTGAGATACTCTTAATTACATGTTGGATTAAAAGCATTATAGTTGTGTTTATTGCTTATTTCTAAGCATAAATATAGCAGTATTGAGAATATAGTTTGTGTTCAATAAATAAGTTAAAGGAATGAATTTGAACTGATTTTGTTATATTTTGAAATAATAGAATAGTTGTGATAATTGGGGGCAGGGAGTTGCTTAAATGACAGTGATAATTTCTCCCATTCTTTTGAGATAAGATACTCAGAACTTGTTGGTAATAAGCAGAAAGGTTTGTTGATTGTTGTAAGTTATTCAGATGATGATGATGATGATAGTAAGGCTTTGTGGAGACTGAGAAAGAATGAATCTTAAACACTGGGGAGGCACAAAAGACTAGGTGACAATGTAATAGAAGACTAGAGGAAACTAGGATTAAAAGAACTGAGAGGGGCTGGCACTGTGCCTCACTTGGTTAATCTTCTGCCTGCGGTGCCGGCATCCCATATGGGCGCTGGGTTCTAGTCCCAGTTGCTCCTCTTCCAGTCCAGTTCTCTGCTGTGGCCCGGGAGGGCAGTGGAGGATGGCCCAAGTGCTTGGGCCCTGCACCGGCATGGGAGACCAGGAAGAAACACCCGGCTCCTGGCTTCAGATCGGTGCAGCACCAGCCGTAGCAGCTGTTTGGGGAGTGAACCAACAGAAGGAAGACCTTTCTCTCTGTCTCTCTTTTCTCACTGTCTATAACTCTACTTGTCAAATAAATTGGAAAAAAAAAAAAAAAAAGAACTGAGAGAATATGATACTAATTTAAAAAAAGGAATAGAAAAAGGTAGTTGGGTATTATCATATAGGTGGCTGGGAATAGAACTGAAATAGGAATGAATAAATACAAGATTGATGGGAGACTAATAATGGGAAGACTAATAATGTAGCCTTGGGGATAGCTACATTAGTAACATTCTTCAGTGCCAGATTTTGTTTTTAAAGATATGTTCATGTTCATCTCAAGGGAACAGGTGGTTTATTCAATACTAACAAGTAACTATATTAGCCACCAAATTCTGAAGTTTGAGAGCTAATATACAGATATCTGTGGGATAAGGTTGATCCAAATAAATCAAATAGCTGTTTCAAAAATAGTATGTGTCAAAACATAGACTAGGGGCCAACAATCTGGTGTAATGGGTTAAGCCACTGCCTGCAATACCTGCATCCCATAGAGATGCTGGTTCGAGTCCTGGCTGCTATGCCTCTGATGCAGCTGATGCTCCTGGGAAAGCATCAGAGGATGGCCCAAGTCCTTGGGTCCCTGTCACCCATGACGGAGACCCACATGAACCTCCTAGCTCTGGCCTGGCCCAGCCTTTACTGTTGCAGCCATGTGGGGAGTGGACCAGCAGATGGAGAATTGAGCACTCTCTCTCGCTCTTTCTATCCCTCTCCCTCTCCCTCTCCTTCACCCTCTCCTCCCACCAACCCTGTAACTCTTTCAAATAAGTAAATAAATCTTTAAAAACCACAGACTAGTAGTTAAAAAGACATGTAATACATTCTTTGGGAGGTTAAGAAAAAAGATTTATGTAGGACAGATGTTATAGCTGGAACAGTCTTTTGAGATAACCTAGTTAAAGTTTTGTTTACCATGGAAGAAACTGTTCTAAGGAAGGTATACCAAAGCTAGTTTTATGGCACAATGTCCAAGTTGGAAAGTTGAGATGGCTTCAAGGAAGCATTGTCACTTAAATGGTCCTTATAAGGTTTAACAAGACTTTTTGGGTAGGAAAAGAGTGAAATTTGAAAGGGAAGGAACAAGGATATGCCAACAGTAGCAAAAAGGCTTGCATAATCAAAGAATGTATAAATGTATGTAAACATTATTTATATGGAACAAAGTTACCTGTTACAATTTCAAGATTAGGAACCTGACTGTAATTTGATCTACATTTTCTTTTAAACAGGACAACGTTATGAGGAAACTAGTGGCCTTTGAAGTGTAATATATATTCTGTCCAATGTTGTAAGCAATAATTCTAAAATAAAGCACTGAACTTCAGTGGCACTTACACTAAAGCTAGAATGATCCACAGAAGATTAGCATGACCCCTGTGCAAGGATAACATGCAGATTTATAAAGCATTCCATGTTTGTAAGGATTCTGAATTTTTTTTTTTTAAAGATTTTCTATTTGAAAGGCAGAGCAACAGAGGGGGAGAAACAGAGAAAGAAATCTTCCATCCACTGATTCACTCCCCAAATGGCTAAAAAGCCAGCGCTGGGCCAGGCCAAAAGAAGAAGCCAGGAGTTCTATCCTGGTCTCCCACATGAATTGCAGGGTCCCAACTACTTGGGCCATCTTCCACTGCATTCCTAGGAACATTGGCAGGCAGGTAAATTGGAAGCACAGCAGCTGGAACTTGAACTGGGACTCCCACGCCAGTGTTGCAAGCAGCAGCTTAACCTGCTGCACCACAGTGCCAGCTCCTCTGAATATTTTCATCACAAAGAATTGATAAATGCTGGGGCCGGCGCCACGGCTCAATAGGCTAATCCTCCACCTTGCGGCGCCGGCACCCCGGGTTCTAGTCCCAAAGGCAAAAGGAAGACCTTTCTCTCTGTCTGTCTCTCTCACTATCCACTCTGCCTGTCAAAAAAAAAGTAACATGAAAAATTTGTTTTACTGGTCTGTTGTACTGCCCAAAAAGTAGAAAAGAGAAAGCCCTGCCAAAAAGTAATGTCAGACTGCTATAATTAAGAATTAAACAATAACAATAAAAAAACCCTCCAAGCACATTTATTTTTTATTCATTTAACCTACACAGAGTACACTATTATGGTTATTATTACTTTCTTAGCATTTAAATAAGATTGCCAAACAGGGGCATACTTTTTATTGAAACAGTAGAAGGTGGCAAAAATTTTATTCTCTCACTCTTTAATCTCAGGTAAGATTATACACTCACTCTTTACTCTTTAAGGTTAATTCAGTATGCTTTTTGTCAACATTTTGAACCTATTTCAGATCAGCAAATTTTGAGTCTTCTTTCCAATCTAATAATAATGTGCATCAACTGTAATTACTAGGATTTAAACAAATCTTTCTGATCCTGCTGTCTACATTTTACTACCTCAGACCTGGGCGACAAGAATAATGTTTGAAGTGACTTCTTTCCCCATTCTCACTTGATTTAAATCAGTGGCTTCCAAACACAGATATATAAACTGCTACTTTTCATTTATCTGGAGGTGGGAGTAAAAGTGAGAGATTCCTAGGCCTCACCCTAGTGATTATGACTTAGTAGATCTGGGATATTGCCTGGATGTCATATCAAAAAAGAAAAGAAAAGGCATTCACTTCAGTGCACTATTTTAACCTTTTCTTTCAACTGGCACATAATAATTATACATATTCGTAAGTGTCGTAATGTTTCAGTTTATGTATACATTGTGAAATATTCAAATCAAGGTAGGCACATCTAGCCTCTTAAACATTTATCAATTTTTTTTTTTTTTAACAGGCAGAGTGGACAGTGAGAGAGAGAGAGACAGAGAGAAAGGTCTTCCTTTGTCGTTGGTTCACCCTACAATGGCCGCCGCAGCCGGTGCGCTGCGGCCGGCGCACCGCACTGATCCGAAGACAGGAGCCAGGTGCTTCTCCTGGTCTCCCATGGGGTGCAGGGCCCAAGCACTTGGGCCATCCTCCACTGCACTCCCGGGCCACAGCAGAGGGTTGGCCTGGAAGAGGGGCAACCGGGACAGAATCCAGCGCCCCGACCGGGACTAGAACCCGGTGTGCTGGCACCGCTAGGTGGAGGATTAGCCTATTGAGCCGTGGCGCCGGCCCTCATGTCACATTTTGAGTCAGTGAATATCTTATTTTAGCCAGTGGTTTTCAAACTTGTTTAGGAAGCCTTAGACTTTTAGTGGAACTTACTTGGTGAGTGGGAGGAGGTCCCAAACAGTCCTTTGCCATTCTTTTAAACCACAGATGGGCAAGTACAAGGTACAAATGTCTGCTGTATCCTTTGGTAGACATCATTAATCACGTGGCATTCTTTCATTGTATCTGGCAGTGGCCTACTTAATGTAGCACTTAAGGTTGACACTAGCAATCACTGAAAACAATGTAAGACAATAAAACTGTTTTTCTTCCTAGAATCAAAGTAGACTCTCAGATTTCATTTCTGGGGTAGGTGTTTTAATTGAACAAGTTAAGCCACCACTTAGGACTCTATTCCTTATCAGAGTGCCTGGGGTAATGTTCCATCTCCACTTCCCATCCTACTTCCTGCTAATGTGGATGGAAGGCAGTAGGGTACTTGGATTTCTGCCACCCACATGGGAGACCAGGATGGTGTTCCTGGCTTTGGCCTGGCCCAGACTTGGCTGTTGTGGCCATCCAGGGAGTGTGAATCAGTGGATGGAAGATCTCTATTCCCTCTTCCTCTTCCTCTCTCTTCCTTTTAAAAAAAATTTTTTTTTTTTTCATTTGAAAGGCAGAGTTACAGAGAGAGAGTGAAGCATCTGCTGGTTCACTGTCCCCAAAATGGCCACAATGGCCGGGACGGGTCCAAGCCAAAGACAGAAGCTTCTTCCAGATGTCCCATGTGGGTGCGGGAGCCCAAGCACTTGGACCATCCTTTGCTGCTTTCCAAGGCACATGAGCAGATAGCTAGATCAGAAGTGGAGCAGCCAGGACTCAAACTGGTACACATATGGTATGCCAGTGTTGCAAGTAGTGGCTTCTCCTGCTACACCACAACGTCAGCCCCTCCCTCTCTTTTATCCTCTCCTTTTCTTTGTGTCCCCTCTCTCTGTCACTGTGCTTTTCAAATAAGTAAATGTTTAAAATAGGATTTCGTTTGTAGTAAAATTGTGGCCAGTGCTCAAAATAAAATGAAAGGCCACAATTTTAATGTCATTAAAATTTATTATTATTATTATTATTAGTGACAGCTCCCATCCTCTGATTCACTTTCCAAAGCTGGAGTTAGGAGCTAGAAATAGGTATTGAAGCCAGGTACTCCAGTGTGGAATGTGGACCTCTTTACCAGTCTCTTGACCACTATAAATGTCTGCTTCCATAATTCCATTTTTTAAATTAAATTTAAAATTTTGAGATAATTGTACATTCATATTGTAAGAAGTAATACGAAGAGAGCCTATGTATTCTTTATCCAGTTTCACTCAGTGGTAGCATCCTGCAAAAATGTAGTACAATGTCATGACCAGAATATTGTCATTGAGTCCAGCCATTTTATTCATACTTCTCCAGTTTTACTTGTATTATTTTGTTTGTGTGCTTTTAATGCTATGCATTTTTAACATGTGCAGGTAATTTTGCCTACCACAGTGAATATACACAGCAGTTCTGTCATCCCAAGGATCTTTGGTATTGTCCTCTAACGTAATCATACCCATTGTGCTCCTCCCCTCTCTAATCTGTTCTCTGTTTCTATAATTTTTTTTTTTTTTTTTTTTTTTTTTTTTTTTTTTGACAGGCAGAGTGGACAGTGAGAGAGAGAGACAGAGAGAGAAAGGTCTTCCTTTGCCGCTGGTTCACCCTCCAATGGCCGCCGCTGCAGCCGGTGCACCGCGCTGATCCTGGCAGGAGCCAGGAGCCAGGTGCTTTTCCTGGTCTCCCATGGGGTGCAGGGCCCAAGCACCTGGGCCATCCTCCACTGCACTCCCTGGCCATAGCAGAGAGCTGGCCTGGAAGAGGGGCAACCGGGACAGAATCCGGCGCCCCGACCGGGACTAGAACCCGGTGTGCCGGCGCCGCAAGGTGGAGGATTAGCCTATTGAGCCACGGCGCCGGCTTGTTTCTATAATTTATCATTTTAAGAATGTTATGTAAATGAAATTGGACAGTATGTAACCTTTCAGGATTTACTTTTTTTCTACAGCATAATTCCCTTGAGATTCATCCAAGTTGTTTAAAACATCAAGAGTTTCTTCCTTTATATTGCGGAGTACTATCCCATGTAGTGTTAGTTTCACATTTGGCAGCTATTACATAGAACATTCAGCTCCAAACTTTCTTTTTAAATTTATAGATTGTGTTGTCTCTCACTTTCCTTTTGATAACTTTTTTGTTTTCTCCCACTATCAGAAATCCCTAACCACACCAGGATTATTGGGAGCACAGTTTAAAAATTACTCGTGTAGGGGCTGGTGCTGTGGTGCAGTGGGTTAAGCCACTATCTGCAGTGCCAGCATGCTATATGGGTGCCAGTTTGCATCACAGCTGCTCCACTTGCAATCCAGTTCCCTGCTAATGTGCCTGGGAAAGCAGCAGAGGATGACCCAAGTAATTGGGCCCCTGCTACCCACATGGGAGACCTGGATCAAGTTCCAGGATCCTGGCCCTTACTAGCTATTTGGGGAGTGAACCAGGAGATGGAAGAATGACTTCTCTGTCTCCCTCTCTCTCTCTGTTACTCTGCCTTTCAAATAAATAAATGTTTAAAAAGAGAAGAAAAGGGCAGGGCTTCCTTGGTCTTTGTTAAATACTGTCATTCCCTTCCTTGCCAGATACATTAGCAGAAAGCTGTGTCAGAAAGGGAGAGCTAGAATTCAAAGAGGCATTTAGATACAGGGTGTGGGCATCTCAACCAGCAGTTTACCTTGAGCTATAACAACCACCCCTGACTTTTTAAATGAAATTACTTCTAACATACCTAAATTTGCAGTTCAATACAGGAGGATTCTTCTCCTTTACTGACAAGAATAGACTGTGGAATACAGTGGAAACTCTTAGTAATTTACAGGGCTTTTACACTTAAAATAGCTGGAAATTGTTCTCCAGTACTCATTTCAAACTTTTTCTTTTAAGAATTTATTTGAATTATTAAGAATTTATTTGAAAATCAGAGTTACAGAGAGGGAGGAGGAGATAGAGATCTTTCATCTGCTAGTTCACTCCCCAAATGGATGTAATGGCCAACTGGGCCAGGCCGATGTCAGGAGCCTCATCCAGGTCTCCCACATAGGTGGCTGGAGCCCAAACACTTGGGCCATCTTTGGCTGCTTTTCCTATGCACATTAGCAGGGAGCTGGATTGGAATAGGAACAGCCGGGTCATGAACTGGTGTTCATATGGGTTGCCTGCATTGGTATTACAGGTGGTAGTTCTACCAGATATGCCACAA